GGGGTGCTAGTCATTCTGGAATCACCATTTTGGCATTTCCATCCTGCATCTCCACTTTCTGCCCTTTGATCCAATCACATCCTAAAAGAAATCTTAATTTCTTTGTTGGGATAGTGGGTTTCTATTGTTAATGTAATAATCTTCAGTAGCTTTATAATTCATGTGGTTGATCTAAATGATCATGCCATGCTCAATTATTAAATTTATTCATGATAGATGGAGAGAACACCATGTCTGAAGTTTATATTTGTAATGATCATTGATTCATGTCCCTGCTATGGACATGGTACATGTGTTCCTTGTTGGGACTACGTTAATGGCACCTATTGGAGGTGGTAAAATAAAAAAGCTTGCTATTAACTGATTATTTGGTCTGTGATAAATGGGCCCATCATTATAGATGGTCCTCCAATTGTGCCTTGGATCAATGAGCATAGAGATCAACTAAACTTGTGTTGAGCATGGAACCAATACATTTTCCTCTCAAGAATTAACGATACTGTCTTGGTTTTTTTTATCATTTTTAATTTCATGTAACCCTTGAGGTTCAATATACTTTTTGTGTTTCTTTAGGTCGAATTTCTGCGTAGTTTGGAGGACAGAGATGATCAGTACAGAAGCATGTTGGATGACAAGCTAAAAGTAACTGACAGTGGCAGCTTGATTCAGGTATACCATGACGAGCTTGGCAGTAAGATAGCTTAGTATCCATTTACAGGTAAACTACTACGTGTACAAAGGGATGCCCAATGTCTGGGAACACTGTATATATAATTCCTTGTATCTCATCAACCAATTAACACAATGAAATGTAAAGCTTTTAATCAAAAAAAAAAAAAATTCATGTAAACTTTGGTGAACTGCAATAACCTTTGCAGCTGTAGTGGATTTACCAGCTCTTTAGGGAATATCTTGCATGCTAATATAATTTATTACGTATGTTTGAAGAGGCATCATGAAGCAGTTAGTGTATAATACAATCTGAAATATTAAATTTATTTTTTTAATCTTTGAAACTATTTTTGCCAATTTCCAAGAACCATGAAAAGAATGGGTGTATTGTATACTACACTATATCCACAATGAACATGAAACTGTGGACCTTGCTTTTACTTGTAGTGATCACTTCCTGTGTAACTGGAGCACGCAAATAACATGATGCAATTTGATTAGATGCACAGCAGAAATTGATCCCTCTTGCCTGCCAGGCCGTAGATAAAAACTGTCACCACTTCAAATTCAATTGGGGTAGAATGGTTTTTGATGATCATTTTAATGTATATTCGTGCATTCCTCAAAGCCACGTAGTGAAGGAAGGGCAGGTGTACTAGTGGGCTCATGTAGTGAAGGAAGAATGCCCAAATTTGATTTCAAAAACTCTTGCCTTGTTGCCATAATAATCACTTCTCTCTGAGCAAGTTTATTAGGACATTGTAACTATGTATGGCCGTTATTACTTGATGAGAACAGTTCGGATTGGCCACTGACGAAAGCATGAAAATGAATATTTAAAGTGTGCTCAACAATTGACATTTGTAAAATAAAGAGTTTAAAAATAAAATATTTTTTCATAATAATTTTTATAAATGTTAATTTTATTATTTGTGAAATTTTTATGCTGAAAGAATTAATAATTGAATGGAGGAAAACCCAAACACAGGACCAAGAAACCCAAGCCCAAGTTCCATGACCCAAGTATGAGTGTTGATTCGTTTGCCGCATTACTCTAAAAAGGGTCCGGTATTTTGGGCATATCTTTCTATATAGATGTCAAAATTTGATGATTCTTGAGGCTATGGATAGTTAAGAGATATAGTTACAATTCATCTGTTGATAACTTCTTTTAAATCAATCTCTATCCAAGCGAAAATTGGGGGATAAGACGTGGATCCGGGCTGAGCAGATTGAGGAGCTTGGCATCACAATAAAAAGGAAAAATCTGGCCAAAAAGGGGGATGGATTTCGAAGGTTATTTTGGAATTATTTTCTCAGTTTTTCACAGAAGAGAAGAGGGGAGAATGGCGTCCAAGCGCAGCTAAAGCTTCAACAAGGCTAAGGAGGATCTTGATCGATGAGTTTTACTTGTTACTTTACTTTGATTCCTTGGGAGATTTTAATTTTAATTTTGTTCTTAAGAGATTTCTTTTATTATTTAGATAAACCCTGAAGTTATTGGCGTGCTGTCGTAGGCACCCAAAAATAAAATCTATACTGTTAAAACAAATGCAGTAGTGCGAGTAATGATCGTTCCCACAAAGAGTATCTACCCTAGTTTTTGTGCTGCGTGAACAAAGATGGAGGGGGGGGTTAAGTGTAATGAAAACCAGATTTAGAAAGAAAGAAAATCAAATGAGAAGCAATGCAAATCAAAGTATCGAAATTAATCAAAAGAACGAGTCTTGGTCTAAGTCAATATCCATCATCAGAATTTCGCTACTGATCATCGATGCAAAGATATATCTATTCACACTTTGAATATTCACCATAGGAATTATTTTTCTATCTCTCTTTTTGCAGTTAATTAGAAAACAAGCGATCTACTTAACCCTTACTACTAAACAACTTGAAACAAGCATTCAAGATTTAATCCAGTAGTAGCCTTAAGAATTGGAGATCGATGAAGCTAAACAACACAAGCACAAGCGGTTGCATTTAATTCAGTTGATTGTTTTTCCTAAGATTTAACAATTTCTGACGCAACAAATCATTAAACCCTAGTTGCTTTGCAGATTAGAGGGATCAAACAATTATGGATTTGATATCTAACCTAACAGTAGATTGCAACGAATAATAAACTAGTAAGCCTCCTAGCAATTAGACGAAACAATCATGAACATAAACATAGAAGAACATTCGATATTCAAAGCATAAATCAAACAGTAAAAATCAAATCAGATCTCACAGTTTTGCTGATTCTGAAGCTTCTGTGTCCTTCGACCAAGTATCAGAATTTAGCCATGCATGGTCTTAGTAAAAACTCAAGAAAAATTAGAGAAGAGAGAAGAGAAGAGAAGAGAGGTGTGACAACCTAGGTCTGATTATTCTCTTCTTTCCTTCTTTTCTTCTCTATACTTCCCATTCCCCAAAAGAAGCCTACAAAATCTCCTAAAATTTCTCTAGATAATAGTCTCCAAGTCTGACTTATCAAGAAAAATATTAAAAATAAGATAAAACAAAGTTTTAATGCAAGTGGGAGAGTGGTGATTTCCGCATATGAAAACTTGTAGGCTAAGGAACGTTTTCAGCACGTCAGCAGTGCGGTTGCAGCTACTTCGAGCCCGATTTCGACCACGATGCAGTTAGTATCTATCAAAGTTCAAAACATGAAGGTTGTAGTGATTTTCCTTATCGCTCCAAAGCATCTTGAATGATCTCAATTAGAGCTCGGATGAGAGAGTTATGCCCAAATTACGACACAGTGCTGAAATTGTCCAGAATTGTCCAATTAGCTCCGTTTTTCACTTAACGCCTCAATTTGTGCCATAAATCAAAATATAAGAATAATGAGTCCATTTAGGCACTAAATACTTATAAAAGACTAATCATTAAGGGAGAAAAATATGATATTTTGCATTCTCATCAAATCCTCCCACACTTAGCTTTTACTCGTCCTCGGACAAAACTCAAATTCTCTTTCCCAAAAAACACCAAGGTTACAATGCCATTAGTAAAGAACAACCAATCTCTTCAATACTCATAACACATCATGAACAAACATTCTTAACAACTTTCAATCACTTAGTAAGCATTTTCACTCGAAGAGGGAATAAACTAAATACGTAGACCCTCACAGAAATAAATACTCAACTCTCATGTTTGTAGGGTATGTGTTTCACTCAAATTCATTCCAATGGAAATGATCTACCATATGCTTGCATATCTTCTCATTCTCCACCACTGGGATCACATGCATAACACGAATCAAAAGGACTTTTCAAGGGTTGTAACGGGGCTTAGGATCAAGGTGGGAAATATTTGAGAATGTAGCTCAAAAGCCGTCAAGACTAGTGGAGCAAAAATGAATCAACTAAACCTTGAATGTATAAGACATGTAAAACCAATCACTCCATTCAACAACTTCTTCAATTTTGCTTTAATGCATTTAAACCATGTAAAACTCCTGCATTGGAAAAGAGATCGTTCAATGGAACACTTTTTGTTTGCAGTAGGGAATAATCCTTCACAAAAGCTTCTACCTTTGTATATATAAGCAGTCCCCCTTTTTCTTGGAATTTTAGGAAGGGCATGGATAGTGTGTAACATCAAAAGCAATTTCCTCCATTCCTTCCTTTCATCTTTACTTTTTTTTTTCTTTTTTTTTCAAGAACACCAATCACTAGAACTGACGAATTGAGAGTCAAAACATGCTCCATTTCACCATTCATAATCATACCACGAATCTAGACACCCCCACACTCAAAACTTGCACATCCATACATATCATAATGATGAACAATGCTCCACTAGTTCTACAGCTTGGGTAAGGGTATTATTTTTTTTCTCGGGTTTAAAGTTTGTAACATGGGTTCGCAATGAATGACACGGGTCAATAAAGCTCAAAGGGGTTCAACAAAGGGGATAATTTATCACAATGTAGGCTATTTGGCTTATGTAGCTTATAATAAAAAAAAAAAACCTTAATCATGTTCATGCATGCTTGTGTCAATGTGATCTTGAAGAGAATTAAGGCAAGTTCTAGAGAAACAAATCTATGGAAGAATATCTCACATGAAAGAAAATAGTGAGACTGATATAGATGTGTCAGTCTAAAGGCTCAAAATCTCACCAACTTTTGTCTACTAAATTTAGTCACTACCATTCTCAATGAAAATAACTAGACTAATTAATTATTAGTTGGAAGATTACTTATCCAATCATGTTATGAGCTTTTTAAGCTTAATTGAATCTTACTCATGGCATACACAACCAAAAAAAAAATCGTTGAAAACCATAAAAACAAAGAGCAAAACTATTTTTTTGTTTTTTTTTTCAAAAAAATGCAGAATTAAAACACAACCTAAATCAAATTTTAAAACGCAACCTAAATCCCCTCCTCCACACTTAAAACTTACATTGTCCCCAATGTAAGGTGAAATGCAAAGAAAAGGTAGAAATAACTAAAACATAAATGCGAAAATAAGAAGAAAAAGAAAAATGAACTTCCCTTTTTTTTAATCAGCATAAATTGGATCCTCAAGGTCCAATTGTTCCACATTCTCTACTTGGAAGCTTTCATAGAAATGCTTGAGTCTATGGCCATTCACCTTGAACGCTTTGAAAGTTGCTAGACTTTGAATTTCAACTGCACTATGAGGAAAAACATTAGTAACAACAAAGGGTCCAACTCAACAAGAATGCAGCTTACCTGGAAACAGACGAAGCCGTGAATGATAAAGGACTTTTTGACCAACTTTAAACTCCTTCCTAGAGATCATTTTGTCATGAAAAGCCTTCGTCTTTTCCTTGTAAATCCTTGCACTCTCATAAGCATCATTGCAAATTTCCTCTAACTCTTGTAGTTGCAACTTCCTGTGTTCTCCCCTTTCATCCATCATGGGTGGGTTCAACTCTGGAATAGGAACTTGCAAAACAGAAGGTAAAGGTCTCCCATTAGAAATTAGTAACATAATATAAGGAACGTTACCTGACTGTTGTAACTCCGAAGAATCATTCAATGCTGCAATAGTTTCCTGCAAATTAGAACTCAAGGTTAACTCCTCTTTCTCAGGATGCTTACTAATGGAAATTTCCAATCCATCTTTCCCATCAAGTTCAAAGACTTCCTGTGATAAAGAATCAATCACATCTATAGAATAAACATGATTATCATCACTAGGATATTTCATGGCATCATAAATATTAAACTTAACAATTTCACCATCAACTTCCATAGTGAGTGTGCC